TTGAACAAATGAAAGACTTCCAAATACTCTTGGGAAAGAGAGTCGAAATCGGTTCAGTGGCTGCTGAGGAATTATTTTTTCAATACATTCTAACAGCAAAAATATTAATTTGGACATTTCTTAAATATAATTTATGTTTATTCCGTTTGGAAGACTTTGTCCTTTGAGGAATTTGAGAATATTTATGAATTGGATTATAGAATAAAGGGCAGAGCCAAGGCCTATATAAGGTCGGACAGTAAGTACAACTGAGTATTACGTTTGCTGTCAAATCATATTTTGAAACCTATCCATACATACAAAATTATGTCAATAAATTAAAATTGAATTAAATATCTTCTTTGTGAAGCACATTTGGATTATTTTAAGATTTTAAAAACATTTCCAAGTAAATTTTCTTACAAAATATAAATTGTGTTGTGTTTTTTATTTAAAATATAAAAAAGCGAAACAATGAGTTTTCGTCTCGACAAAAAATTTACGTTAAATTTAATGGAAGCAGTTTTTTTCACTACGAATGCGCTCACTGGCAGACCTTATATAGGCCTTGGCCAAAACTTTTGGATACAGTCAATATAAACGGTGTCGTCAGCAGCATAGTGTTGTTTGATCTACAATATTAAAGATATATTTCAATCCCCAACTACTTTTTATACGTTTATTGAATAATTTCTTAAATCCTAAAAGTATGCAACAATTTTATTTCAATTAAAAGAGTATTAAGATATGCGACCTAAAGAAAATTCGTAATGTTTATACAGCAGAAATTAAAGAAAACTAAATTATTCCTTTCAGCGTTCCTTATAAAGAAATGCAATCGATTCAGAATAAAATTAACAATTCATAAAATTTCGGTTGTTATTCATAATATTTAATTTTAATTTCGAAAATGTTTAGAAGCTTTAGTTTAGGTTACCAGAAAAAATATTATATTAATATAACATATATTTATGATAGGGTATAATTAATAATTTGTAGTAAAACACATTAAAAATTCCAATAATGTTCCCACTGTCATATCTACTAAACGTAGAGCCAACCATGAAATGATGTCGAATTGCTCTTCCATCATGGACAACTTCTTCTACATAATATAATAGTGCGTTTACATTTAACCGGATTACATTAACCCAGCGGGTTTCAATTGTCATTTTCTTTGTCAAATAAATCCTTATAAAGCAGGTTAACCGAGTAAAAAGTTCTAATGTATATGCCGTTTAATCCTTGTTCTCCTAAATTAGAAGGTTATACTTGTGAATATTTGATTTCACATAACACTTTATTTTTGACCATATTGTCACTATTCCGTTTAATTGAGGGGAATATGGTCCCAATCTGCTGGTGATTTTAGAAATATTCGTGAAATGATTTTCATATAATAAGTACTACATACCTAATTTTTACAGGAATATTTTTCACTAAATTCGATTCATGTTCAATTTATTTCATTCGAATTTGAATAAAATGATATGAATTAAAAATTAATTATTACTTATTATTATTTAAATTATTATTACTTATTATCATTTAAATGAATTATTATAAAGAATTTCATATGAAAAGTTTAATATTACAAATTAAATGCTGTGAACTACACCTAAAATGTTATAAATTCGAATAGCAATTGAAAAGTTTTGAATTACATTTTTTTAAGAACTATAGGACTTTATTTAAACTGCTTCGGAATGTCCGATGGCCAAATATGCACCGTCTTGTTGTATGATTTGTTGCCATTTTAAAGGTAACTTAATAATGCCTCTCTCATAGAAGTCCTGCTCCCAATTTGGAAAAAATATAGTAGTCGATTTTCATTGTGTATGGCCTAGCGTTGTCCTGGTGGAACACGACACCTCTCCTGTTGTCCAATTCTGGCCGTTTCTGCTCAATTGTAAATGGTTTAAAACAGTTTTATGGTCCATATTACTAACAACATACCGGTCAGCTTCAATCAGGTGCATCTTTACATCAAAAATTCCTGAACAGAATCTACGAAACAAAAATTGCACATTTTTAGCCGTATGGCTTGCATTTTCGCCTTTCCACCGAGCATAAATCTGAAATCGTTTGATCAATACTTTACGAGAAATCATCAGTACAGCTATCTGCCGAAAAAATAATGGATTTTGTGGCGCGATGGGATTGACGATTAAAATAAAGCGGAGTCCGTAAAACTAAGCGTACCTTAAGTTACGAATTTTTCCGATAGAAATGCATTTGTTGCAATTGTTTTTATTTATTTGAAGTAATAGAACATAGGGTAAGTGTACCAATAGTCGGCACTTTAAAAATTTTCGTTGTTCAAAACAAAACGTTGTTGTTCAAAACAAAACAACAACGGAGAATATTCTCTTTAAACTTCTGAATTCTGCCACAACATCATCTGCCTGAAATTGTTTATTTTACTTGTTTCTTCTTTTTTTGTTGAGAGGATCATAAATTATTTTAGTGGGTGGTATGAATGCAGATCTCTACCAAACATTAGTAGGTGATTTTTTTTCAATTTTCTACTTTTGCGAGAGTGGAAACAGTGATTTGCTTTTATATGTATCTATGATAGGGAATAGTAGAGGCAATAGGTATGTTCGACCGCATAGTGGGGCAAAAATAGTTATATATATATTTCTTGATTGAACTAATGAAAGACTTCCAAATACTCTTGGGAAAGAGAGTCGAAATCGGTTCAGTGGCTGCTGAGGAATTATTTTTTCAATACATTTTAACAGCAAAAATATTAATTTGGACATTTCTTAAATATAATTTATGTTTATTCCGTTTGGAAGACTTTGTCCTTTGAGGAATTTGAGAATATTTATGAATTTAATTATAGAATAAAGGACAGAACCAAGGCCTATATAAGGTCGGACAGTAAGTACAACTGAGTATTACGTTTGCTGTCAAATCATATTTTGAAACCTATCCATACATACAAAATTATGTTAGACGTCAAAACGAAAATATTAACATTTTGTCAATAAATTAAAATTGAATTAAATATCTTCTTTGTGAAGCACATTTGGATTATTTTAAGATTTTAAAAACATTTCCAAGTAAATTTTCTTACAAAATATAAATTGTGTTGTGTTTTTTAATAATTTAAATTCTAAATTATTCTCCTCTATGTTATTTACAATTACGAAGAAGATCCTTGTAAAAATATATTATTTTAACATAATTACAAGTCTTTTTGAAATTGGCATGCCCATTTTTTTTTTTAAGAAACATGAATTATAGCTAGTGTTGACAAACCTCATTGACAAAATGCCAAACTTCGACTGAATAAATGTACTTAGATCGATTAAATATTATACAGAGATGGGTTGTAGTGTTATTGAAGATTATAAAAGGTACATTTTCATAATTACTTATATTTTTTTTTTGTTATTTGTTATATAAAACAGTTGCCGACTATTGGTACATGTTGGAATTAGATGCGTTTACCATATTTCCCAAACATTCTCAAAATATAGTCAGATTTTTTAATAATAATTTAAAATAAAAAATGTCAATCAAAATCTTTTTTGTAAACGATATACCACTTCTACTGAACATAGGGTTAACCAATATCAACCCTGACTAAAATTTATAAGTACAAGTGGCAACATAAACAGTTTTTGAATTTACCTAATACGGCAACATCGTCACATTTGTTTATAAAATTAAAAATTTGTTTGGTTATTTCTAATTTTTATTGAAAAACTACAAAAAATCTCAAGATATTTTTTAATATCTACTAATTTATTAAAAATCGTGTTTGTGATTCGAACAAAATTCCAAAATAAATTTAAATAAAACACTGCATTACCCGCAATTTCGTGCCGTTCACATTCCACTTTGTGTGGCTATCCAATAAGATTAGTAGACCATACGTTCGGTTGTTTGTAAACGCCAATACAAAATGTTCGTCGTGCCGTCAGTTGTCGTAAGAAACCTACGCAGTTTGCTGCATTTTCTAACAAAAAATTCAAAATATTCCCATTTCGGGTAGTGAAATGTTATAAAATTGTAAGTTTTATCGTTGCTGGACGCCAAAACAGCCCAGTAAATTTTTACAATAAAAATAACCTCAAAATTCCGAATGTCAATAACCAAAAAATCGAAAACAAAATTTGCCTAGCGAAAATTGTGCTGTGAACCAAAAATTTGTGAAAATAAAAACGTGCTTTTCATAGCGAATGGAGAGCACATGTGATGTAATCGTGCTGTGGGATTTTTGTTGACCCGTTTTGGTGCCGTCTGGGAGTTTGGGCCAGGCGATTGTTTACATAGGCGGTCATTGAAATGTAAATAAATAAATGGTCATAACCTCATTTGGCCATAACCTTAAAGCAAACATTTTTAATGGAAGATGGAGTAAAAATTGCATTTTCTTCATAACTTGGAATTTTTCATGAATATGTGGTTGGTAATGATGTGTACGTGTGTGTGTGATGGTGTTAGTGCTCGGTGATGTCGGCTTTTTATATGTGGGGTTCGTTTGTGTGTGCTTATATGAGAACTGTGTTATCTACCCCCAAAAACATATGATGTCGATAACAGTGTGTATGTGTTTAACTATGAACAAATATATCTTCTAATAGTGTGGAACATAAATAATAACTGCGGAGTTGCCATATCGCCATGAAAAGAAAGTTATGCGACATCTTTACCACCATACACAACATGTGTTTGTGATTTTCCTACATATATACAGCAGCCTTCCACTTCCAAGGGACATTTTTCCCATGTTTTTTTGATTTTTCTAATTTGAGTTTGGGGTATGTTCAGTCAGTGGCAACGACGGTTAGCTGCGCGCCTGCTGTCAGTCACAAGAAGTAAACAAAGCACGGCAAACAATCTCTGCCTATTGCAACAACGTGTTTCGCTAGAGATTCATATTTGCAGGAGGTCGTTCTCCCTTCGTGTGTGTGTGTTGTTGTTATTGTTGTTTTGCTAATAAATTTCAAATTTCTGCTATAAATTTCAGTTTTTTGAGCTTGGAAGAAAGTTGTTAAAGTTAAACTATGGATAGTCAATATGGTGGCATACAATGGATACAACATAGTTCCGTGCATCAGCAGAAACATTCATCGATACACGTTGGTAGTATCCGTGGAGGTGGCGTCACAGGTGATATGAAAACTGCCGGCCAGTTAATTATTGATCCACAGCCACCTTGTGATGAGGAACTTATGGCCAGCACTGCTGGTAATACCACCTCATCCGAATATATGGCCACCGAAGATGATGATGCAACAGATAATATTGATCAAATTGCTGCCGAAAATTTAATTTTTATGGCAAGAGATGGTCAAATGGTTGCCGAAATAATACCCACAAATGGTACAGATAAAAATGGTGCCGTCGTAGTAACGGCCAGTGATGGTGAACAAATAGATTGTGATGCCATAATGCAGCAGGCGGCGTTAATACAACAACACGAGGATTCTGGCGGTGGTGGAGGAGGTGGTGCGGATATTTACTATACCGACAGATCTCCACAAATGGTTACCGAAGAAGTTATAACAGATGATTGGGTACAGCATCAGGGTGAAGAAAGGTAAGGATAATGCTTATTTTTTGGTAATTATGTGAGAGAATTAATTAAAATTTGCACAATGACATATTCATAGATTGGGTGAGGTCAGCATACAAGCTGTTTGCTTTTAAGATATTGTCAATTAACAGAACAGGGCGTACTCCGACTTAGATTATATTAGATCAATGTGGGGAATTAAGACTCTATTATGGACCGAAGGAAAAATCGACTATGCAAACATATTTGTTTTTTCAACAAATGAAAAATTACTATGAAATACCCCAACAATTATATAAATGCTACAAAGAAGTTCAGTTAATGACAATATACTTTATACTTTGGACTGACACGAGGAGAATTTGAGGATAAATATAAATAAAATGTAATATTGGAACAAGTCTAGGATCGTTTTGAAATTTTTATCACATGTAGTCCTTCAGGCTCTGAGCACAACGGTATACTCTTTTTTCGGATATCGGTATCTCCAAAGTTCCGTTGGATCCATTGTATCTTGGGTCTCATGATTTTTTAAAATTCAGGACAGGGAATTTAAGACTTTCTCCTATGGACAGATGACAACTCCGGCTTCGCGACCGAATCTCCTTTTATTTTGATTTGTGTGTGTGTAATCAGGACTTCAAACGCTTTAAAATCATATTGCCTTGATAAATTTTAAAATCAGAACTTTGGTGGCACATATCTCCGGAAATACCGATTCCCGCAAGAAAAGAAGTGTACCGTTGTAATCAGGACCCCAAGGAATACATGTGGAAATACAAAATTTCATAACTCCTCTAAGTAGCCTCTTTAAACCCTATCAAGTATTTTTGCAATGTGTTCCGAATGAGTCTGGATACAATGCCGGTATACTTTGCAGATTGGCTATATCTGCCTATGTTTGGGCATATATCGCCCACCTTTGATTTATTACTTTTGAACGCCGGGTTACTAAAGTCTCTTTGAAGTTTCAACTGTTGTCTGCTATCTGTCTATTTATTCGACTACTGCCGACTTAGGGAAGTTTCGTTTCCTTTTCGTGGTGAAAATTTCGTATATGTCCGTCGGGATGCTTTCCTGACTGAAACTGAGCATTCCTCATTAAGTTCGAGGAATGCTTCGCTCTGTATGTTGATTCATTGAAGTTATTCCCAGCTGCAATTGAAGTCCTTTGCGTTAAGAAGAGTCTGAACCCATATTTTTGTTAAATAGATTTGTTCTTTTGACGTTTGAGACTGAAGGTGCCAAGGCAACCACACCTGTCATTAGAACATTTTGTATGTATTTTTGGTCCTTTTTACTAAATCGATATTGATTAGTGGAAAATACAATATTAGGCGATTGGTATCCCCGATTTGATACAAAACATTGCACATCGTAGTATTTCATTCACACGAAATTCAAAATCAATCCACTCCTGCTGGTACCTTCCCACATAAAGGTGACAATTGTGCTGAAAATGTATTTTATAAAATCTAACGGACGAAATAGGACCCGTTGGACCACTCCTCCTTTGTACCTCTTTCACAAAATAGTCAAGATTTGGCTGAAAATTTTGTATTTGCACTACCTACTTATAATATTGAAATATATGACTTATCGTTATAAATGGACAACATTGAATATGAAGCGATTCGATCATCCAATTTCATTAAATCTTTGGAAGACGTAATATTTTTACCGTGTCCGATTTGTTCCAAACTATGCAAATTGTACTGGTATTACCAAACCTAGATCAAGTCCGAAGATGGGAACCATCGTTCCCACTCTGTTTGGTACTTCCCAATTAAAATTATAAAACCTGTGTGTAATTTCTTATATCTCCGTAGACCATAGACTGAGGGTAACAACACCAAGTAACATTTCGTCTGCAACACCTCCAAACGGAGACTACATTAAGTTTTTTGTTCTTGGGGAGAGTAGAATTAACCATTTAGCATTTCGGTCAGTGTTTCGAAATCACGATAGAGATCACAATGTTTAAGTTTTAGAATTTTCATATAAAAAGTTCGACTCGTTCTCACTTAACGACGTGTTTTGGTTCAATCTCAAATAGTGATAGAAAATCTATAGCTTGTGTTCGTCGACTGACAAATATAAAGCGTAGTAAACGAATCATAAATCTGAAATCTTTATATTTTTGTAAAAAATATATGTCCTTATTATCGTCTGGAAGCGCTTATATTAAATTAATAATGGAAAATGATGATTGAGTTGAAACAAGCGTTCTATGCTTGAAGATCATGTACTCAACACCATAATGTTACGACTTGTATACATGGTCTTGATATTCATCTGATTCCACTATTAAACTGACAAAAATTAAAAAAAAAATATTTATTAAAAATCAGATTATACAAATTGTTTCCTATTGTATTTTTTCAGGGTTGAAATATCAGCCGAACAGATCATCTCCAATTCACAAGTATTAATGGATATTGAAGTTCCCCTGCCCACGGTACAAGATGAATATACTGCTCAGCGACCATATCCTTGTGATTTTTGTAGTCGACGATTTCGCAAGAAGGCCAGCCTTATGAATCACATGGTGGCACATCAAAATGATCGGCCACATTTGTGTAAATTATGTGGTTCACGATTTTTGCGGAGGCAGGATCTAATAAATCACCTGAAGGCGCATGCCGATGAAGCTGCAGCTGAGCCGCAAATGGATGATAGTGATTGTAAGTAATCTAAATAAATTTAATTTTGATAGATATATTCTTATTTATATTTTTTGTTCAATTTCCAGTTATAAATTTTGTTACCGATACCACCTCATCATCACAGCGCACCTCCAATGATCATTATTATGAACAAGATTGGAGTGTGCCTGAAGATTCTGTTACAATACCAATTAAATCTAGTCGTAAACAACATCAATATCAACAACACCAACAACAACAAACTACCTCCAATCAAATAAATTCTACACATGAACAACACTCATTGTTGGATAATAATACATTATCATCATCGTCGTCAACAATAATTACAACTGTAACAGCATCATCCACATCATCGACAACTGCACCGCCTAGAGGTCGTATTAGTCGTCTCAAACCAAAGGAAGATACCTATATTGTAGATGTACCTCATAATAGTAGTTCGATAAATTTAGCAACAACATATAGCATTGTTCAATGTGATGAGTTACCAAATTCAAATACAACAGCAATAGAATTTACTCAGGATACATCAACACAACCCGCCTTACAAAATGTACAACAACACCAACAAGAAATTCAGGATCAGAAACCCATACTACATTTTCCAATTATTGATGATAATAAACCATTCGTTTGCCAACAATGTGGTTTGGCATTCTCCCGAGAAAAGGCCATGTTGGCACATACGAAGGTATGAACATTTTAGAATATATATCGTTTAAAGAGTAGTGGGATATGATAATTGAGCTGAATCTAGTGTTCAATACTAGAGGAATGTGTGCTCAATATGAAAATGTTACGACTGTTACACATTCTTGAAACTAATTTGATCCACAATAAATCAAACAAGTTACAATATTTTTCATTATTTGTTTAATTTAATTTATATTTTATTTTTTTTTTTTTCATTTTTTAGAGTCATCGCAATGATTCACCCTTCGAGTGCCCTCAATGCAATGAATTATTTTGGGATCAAGCCAGTTTATCGGATCATCAAAAAACTCATCAATTTGAGGAAAGCAATTCTGAATATGATCCAAATGAGGGAGAAGATGAAACACAAAGTGAATCCGAGTCCGAACAACAATTATATGGTGAATTTTATTGCAGTGAATGTGGAATGTCGTTTCATCGTCAGGACTTATTGCGCAGACATGCTAAGAGTCATTCGAAACACAATAGCCAATCGAATGAAAATGGTGCTGATATTGGCGTTGGTGGTGGTGCCTCTGGTGATGGCAATAAAGATCAACATTGTTGCAACACATGCGGTGAAACATTTGCCGAAGCTTTGGATTTGTTGGCACATGCTGAAATTCATGCTCGTTACCCGCCTTTCAAGTAAGTTTTTAAAATATAATCTCAGTAAGATAGGAAGTTGCTGGTATACGATATACTTTCATTTTGCAACAATTTGCCTTGACTTCGGGATTACCTAATGATCTTGATCGGACTTGTTTTCCCATTGAATCTCTAATATACTTTTTTTGACTAAAGAATATGAAAAATAGGAGGAAATGAAAAATTTTAGTTTCTATTTATATTCTGACGAGTCATCCACCAACTATTATAACTAGGTCAGTGTTCGTATTGATAGACGATTCAGAATGTTATTTCCATCTCACCACAATCACTGGAAGATGTGTTTACACTAAGTGGTATCCATACTTTATAAAGTTACTGGAGAACCTAATAGCCACCTGACATGACATAGCACCTAAGTCTGAAAAAGTTTTAGTCGAACTGGGGTATTAACATGCAAGATTTTAATAGAAGATCACCTAGGTCCTAAGGAAATTTTTAATTTAGGACGCCTCAACATGACATCACAGGGACACCATAATTTCCTTCCGCTGCTTAGCATAATAAATCTGCAACTAATACTAATTGAGGCAACTGTTTGGCTCAAAGCACTTTGGGTTTTTCAGACAGCTCATTTTTTTGGTCCATTTATTTTTTAAATTATATTTAATCACGTTTTTTATTTCTTTCCAGATGTGTATTATGTGGTGAATCATTTTTTGAAGAGCCCACAATTAAAAAACACTTACAATCTCAGCATGCCAATGAAATGACGGAAAATTCATGTATTTTATGCGGCAAAGAATGTCGTGATCGTAAAGCACTAATCAAGCATGCCTGGGATCATTCACGCGAAAAATGCCATTCATGTTCAAAGTGTGGTAAAAATTTCCATAATAAAGCACGTCTAAAACGTCACATGGCATCGCATCGTGATAAATCGGTACAATGTGATGTCTGTCATGAAGAATTTCCTGATGGACGTACCTTGTCGAATCATCGTCATTCGCATAGTACAACATCGGCTGGGAAATTATTCCCCTGTCATGAATGTGGCAAGACATTTGGGTCACGAAGTTCACAGCAAATTCATGTACGCATACATACGGGTGAAAGGCCATACGGTTGTCGTTTCTGTTGGAAGGCATTTGCCGATGGTGGTACTTTGAGGAAACATGAACGGATACATACGGGTGAGAAGCCTTATGCTTGTTCCGTATGTCCAAGGGCCTTTAATCAGCGAGTGGTTTTGAGGGAGCACATACGTTCACATCATTCGGGTTTGGACACTAAGCGAGGAACCTATTACTGTACAGTGTGTGGAGCTGATTTGTCATCGTCGGGCGATTTGATACAACATCTAATACAGCACAGTGACATGAATACGGCAATGCAAAGGCAACCTGTGGTATGTACCTTTATAAATTTGTGGCATTAGAAAACAATTTGATTTCAACAATATTATCTTTTTTAGACTGGTCCACGTAAATACAAACGCCGCCGTAAATTGAAACCCCATGAACTTGCCCGCCTAAAACGAGAATCCAAACAGAATGGTGATAATTGCAGTGATATTGACCTATCGGATTTCGATATGGATAATGTTGATGATTTATTGGCAATGACTGAGACGAATACATCTACCGAAAATACCACCAGCAATCATGAAGCCCCAACCATAACAAAATCTAAACGTCAAAAGAATAACAACTCCTCTGATCTATTGGATTCTTCTACAAACAGTCGAAATGCTTCAAGCAAAACATCATCTGGCTCTAAAAAGAAATCTCACATTGTACTCGATGCGGATGATTTTGATTTAGATGTGTCAATGGTCGATGGTAGTGACAGTACAAAGAAACCCAGATTCAATTCAACAAGCAGCGATAAGATTTGGTCAACAAAAGCATCCAACGAAGAGACTTATAAATCATTACTCTCTAATTTGGAAACAACATTACAAAGTATCGATACACTGGTGGTGGGACCATCAACAAATAATGCTGTAGACATTAGCAACGCCCCTACAACGACAGCGTCGACAAAACGAAAATCAAAACAAAATGAATCGACTGCCCAGAGAACACAACAAGTTCAAATAGTTCGTAATGATAAGGTGGTTAATGCGTCAATGATCGGCAGCAACACCTCCTCCAATCAAACTAGCTCAAGCACCACGACTAAAGGTCGTAAGAATAAAACCGATAAATCTACGGCTGGAAAGCAAAGCAAGGGTCCCCAAATGATCCGCACTGAAAAGAGTACCGTTTCTTCCGTTGAGGGTGGCAAAAAGAAATCAAAATCAGTTGTGAGTCGTACCCAAACTACCAGTGTTGATATATTACCCAAATCTGTTGGTATAGTGGATGACTATGATATTATTTCACCAGCTTTGCATCCACCTAAACAAATTAGCTGCAGTCCATTGCACATTAAACAGGAACATGACAATCCTCCTCTAATGAGGATTCAAAATGTAATGTCCTCCTCATCATCATCTTCAAATATTAACCATCGAAATCAAATGTCTTCGTCGTCTTCGAATACCCGCCACAACAATGACCTATATGATGCCCATCTATTACTTGAAGCTTCGGGATTACGTAATGACCTCGATGAGATTTTGAGATCACCGCTGAAATCGGAAAAACTGGGTGGATCTCGTCAACGTTTTCCCAGTGAATCGTCAACACAATTCTTGACCGAACAATCCGAAGAAGAACAACATTTAATAAAAATTGAACCTACCTCACCCGATCTAAGGGAAATTGTTAATGGAGTTAGTTCCGTCAACACTTCCGAAGCAGTTAGTTCAGCTGGCATGGAATTGGTCGATGCTTCTTCTCATAATGTGCGCAGAATTTCTAAAACATCACGATCTCAACGGAACATCAATTCAAATAGAAAATATTTTGAATTTGCCAATGACCAATTAAGTGACATGAAATCTAGCGGTAATTCACTCAAACGTTCATCTAACAACCATTTGAGTGGTGTTTCGCAATCCTCCATGAAATCCTCAAAGTCTGCCCGTACAGAACCTGCCAAACCAACAAAATCTTCGTTACCGAGTTCCACAGCGTTTTTGGATTACAGCATGGTGGATAGTTTTAACACGGTCACAAGTTCCTCGCCACACGACAGTCATCATCATCACCATGTCAACTCGTTTTCTTCCATATCGGCAGTGGTATCTGCTGCTGATGCCAATGCTGCAGCCGCTTCGGCAGCAGCTGCCCAACAAAATCCTTCACCTGCCCGTAAACCTCAACGATATTTTGAGTGTGAAATGTGTTCGGCTGTATTCTCGGATCGGGCCCAACTGCTCGATCATGTACCCATACATATTTAAGAAAAATTCAATCATATGCTGCTGCTACCACTACGACGACTACTATTACTTATGAATACCACAGTGCCAATAGTTGTTAAAATCAAATCGTTAGGGTGTTTATTTTTCGTATTCGAAAAACCTTTTTTATGCAAATGAGTTACAGTGTTTCAAGAATTCGTTAAATCCACCACAATCATAACAGAGAAAGAAAATGTCTTCTTTCGTTTGTATATTTCTTTTTAGCTATTTTAAATTTTTATTCTGTTTAGTACTTTTTACTTACCAGTTTTTGTGTGTATGGTACCTTTTGACTAAGGTATTAAATCATCTTGTGTTTGGCAATGGTTGCCAATCCAAATGAAAAGGACAAAAGTGGAACTGAAAAAGGAAAGACAAAGTTTGTTTTTTAGTTTCTGTACAAAATACTATATACTAATTTAATTGCATAGAATTAATGAGTATAAATTAGAAGTTTTGTTGCTTGCAAACATAAAAAAAGAACAAATCTGTTAAACAGTTATGTTAGTTTGTTTTCTCTTTTTATTTTTTTTCTTTTCAAAAAAATTTAAATAATGGAAATAAAACAAACGCTATTTTTTAAAACAATTGTTGTAATTTTATTAAAAACAAAATATGTGGTGAGTGAAATTAATTGTAAAAAAGTTAGGGTTGGGTATTATTAGCTTAATTTGGTAATGTGTTTGTTATAATGGCCTTCTGGAGCAAATGGAAGTTGTCACGTATTACTCCAGGGGGGTTACTCTGTATTGCGATGCGTAAGAAAAATTGTATCGCATCGCGTAATTGGTACTCTCTAATTCGTTTTCGTATCTCCTTTCGCATCTACTTTACGCAAATGTGGCATCACCGCAATCTGTAATACGAAAACGCATGTCAAACTCGTTCGTTAAACGCAAATATCTTGCGTTAACAAAATAGCAAACGCAAATGAAGCGAAACATGTAAATAAGAACGACGCGCCAAAAAATTGTAGAGAAAACTGGATGATGACCTTAATTCAGATGGACCTCCTGTAAGAGATGTCGCTGGTTGGGAAAAAGTAATGTTTTATATTTTATATATAAAATGTGAAACTATGTGTGCATATTTACAGGTTGGTGTTGATAACCACCTTGTCCAAGCAATTTCAACGTCCACTTTTATTGGATTTGGAATTGCTGTAGATCTATATGGAACGACGAGGTCATTTTTAATAGCGTTTATTAAAAACATAAACGCATCTTTATTGAGACGAACATTTTGTATAAATTTATAAAAATTAAATTTTTGAAAACGTTTGACACATTATTCGTACTTCTATTTTCTCTTAAAATTCTTTTTTTTAGTTGGTTCGTCATTTTTGTTTAAAAAAACACTCGTACCACATAAAAATATGTTTTTAAATGTTTAATGTTAAAAAAAAAACACTCGTACCACATAAAAATATGTTTTTATTTACAATTTTTTGACGTTTCCTTTTGTCATTTTTCGTTATTGTTTACTTTGTGGTGCCAGTGTTGCCCTATTTTGGATTTATTTTGCGAATGCGTTTGCGTGAGCGATACAGAGTACCAAATTGCACTCTTAACGCATTTAGCTTTCGCATCGCACTGGCTTTCGCAACGCAATACAGAGTAACCCCCCAGACCACCATACTTGCTGAATTTTTTCTCTGTGTGGTTTTGTTTATCAACCTTTGTAGCTTATCTGGATGCGTATTGGGTACATGGTGACCCTTCCTGGACCCTTCATATGAAGTGATCTGATCAACCCATGAACTGCGTTCATCGTGTTGAAAATTATTTTTACTATTTGATCATCATGTTTCATCTGTCCTTTTAGTTTCTAGTGGAAATTTATGCATCCAAAATTGTGAGGTATCAATTTTGTTTGTAGAGTCCTTACCCGTATCATTTCAATAATTCAGAATCTAGCTCATACAGCCAAGAGCGGTCCCACAATTCATCTATTATCCACTAAATTGAAGTTCGACCGTAAAACATTTCAATTGACTAGTGGGTGATACTTTGATGTTGCCCTTGCCATCTTCCTCAAAGTGAGAAGTGGTATTGCTCCTGGGGGTTTAGAAGACGCCCCTACGTATTTTCTGCCAGATGTGACATGTATGAACTAATTTAACTAATGTTTAAAGGGAATTTTTCTAAGCAATCAGCATTTGGGGAACATTTATGTTTCTTGAAGGGTGAAAGACGTTTTGAAGAAATTTTCAATATAAGTCCATGTCAAAACACCGGCCTCCTTTTAGTTACGTTTATAGTTATAGGGCCATTTTCTAATAGATATGTTGAGGATCTGGAAGGAGAATTTTGAAAAGCTTCTGGCATCAAATAGTAACGGTGAAGAAGATATCCCAGAACCAATAAGAGATGACGGTATAGATTTTATACCACCTAAACAAGCATGGACGCATGCAGGGGGGCGGCCCGGGGGGTTGACCGCTCCCCCCCCCTCCAGAACTGAAATATTTTCGCAGTAAATTTATGTTTGCAACAGCGAATTTTGTAATATCGTGAACGACTAAAGCCAATTTTCAATGACATTATTGGACCATATCAATGCGGCTTCAGGCCTGGCAAATCCACCATTGACCATATTTCAACTCTGCGCCTGATCCTGGAAAAGAACCTCGAAAAACACATCGAAACATTCCACCTATTCGTCGACTATAAAGTAACAATCGACAGCCCTTTCCGTTCAGAGGTGTTTAAAGCCAGATCTGCGTTCGCCATTTATTAGTTAGTTTGTCGTGTGATCTTTTAACATCCTGCTGGAAAAGGTCATACAAGAGGCAAAGGTGAACAGAAATGACACTCTGTACACCAAACAGTATATGTTACTCGACTACGCCGATGACATCGAGATAATTGAGAAGGAATTTGCCAAAGTGGGTCTGGCAGTAAATGGTGAGAAGACCACGTTGATGGTATCAACGCGCAAGATGTCCAGTAGACTCGGACCAACTGTGGAACTTGATAACTACAGCTTCGAGGTAGTCGAAGATTTTATATGTCTTGGAAAATAAGTAAAACATCATAAGTAAGACATCAGTTTTGAAATTCGGAGGAGAATAGTGTTGGCTAACAGATGCTATTATATTCTATGTAAGCAATTCGGAAAAAGGCCACCTCTCGCCATTTTGAGTCTACATTTTGGAGTCTTTTGTTTTGTATTGCAGTGAAATAAACAATAGTATATTTAATAGTATCTGCAGTTTTTTTTAATTGACTATTATTTAATAATGAAAAGAAAATAGTTTTATCTTATCATATTTAATAATTTAACTTTTCAACAATTCCATTAAAAAAAAAAAAACAGTAAAGGGCCCCATACACTATACATCATGGCGTCATGCCGATGAACCCCTTTGTATATGTGTGAGATTGACTAGTCTGTGGCAAACTCTTCAATCATTATTCCAAGAAATATTTTTTTCCAAAAAAGTCGTAAATTCAGTTCCTTTTTATTTCGTCACAATTTTATTATTTGTATACTCAAAATTATTTATTGCTAACTTTGAAAATGAATAAAATTAATTCATTGGATTGAAAGGGTTTCATTTTCAAAATCAAAACTTTAATATGTTTATGCATACGCTATACGTTAAATTTAATTTAATTCGGGCAAGTTTTAAGTCGTTTGCGTACAATGGGACAAATTTATATAAATCGATTTACAGCTGAAACATTTTCTTTCTAAAAAACTAATCAACATTTCGACGAATTTTGAAATTTTCATTATCTGTAAGTGCTGTAGTTTGTTGTTATTATCATTTTGTTTTTAAAATCATCATCAAACTCTGAAGAGCAAAGAAATTTATCAAAAAATACTCACAATATTTTGTTACATACCTACTTATATATTAATCAATTGTTTATAGAAACTACAGAATCATGATTGTAACCAAATATATTCTATAAATGAGTTCGGTTGCATGACATCGTCCATTAGTTTCACAGTTCGCTTTGTCAAGAAAACAACGATATAATTTTTTGAAAGTTTTATAATTTACATTAAACTGAACTAAAATAACAGAAAATGTTTAAAGTGTTCATTTTATTGAGTGTGACTTTGGCATTCGCCTTGGCTGTACCACAAGTTGTAAGTTGGAGTACCCTTTATTAAGGCGATCAGATTTTGAAAATGAAAATAGATGACAAAAAGAAAAAATATATTTTTAATAAAAATAATAATATTTGTATAAATCGTAAAAATATCAAGATTTAACAATTAATTATTTTTTATGGAAATTTGTTACCCAATTAGAACTCAAAATATAAAAGAAGATGTAATTCGGTTGGAAAATTTGTCTAAAAATCCTGAAGGTACCGAAAATACATTATCTAAATATGTCACTGAAATTTTATAAAAAGTATTAATTTATTTTAATTTACAAAAATAAATATTTTAAAAATATAGATGGCAAATATGACTGATTATAGAAATAGAGGACATACATTTTATAGATGACAGCCAGTTAAAATATATGATTGTCTTCCAAAAAAGATGGCTAATCAGGGTATATAATAAAATATCGGTGTTAGAACCCAAGTTTCTTTGAACCAAAACTGGTCCACATAATTTGAGTGTATTTAAAAATATCCGTTGTTCTGTACGGCTAGTTGGAGCGCACGATAATTACCAATATATTTTTTCCAAATTTAGGTGGGAAATATAGATCCACTCCTTCTGGTACCTCATCCGCAAACTCATATTTCTTCTTTGCTGAAAATATATTTAAATATATAATGCGGACGGAGTATCCCATTTGAAACAGAGTTTGCACAAGCTAATATATTAATCAAGCCCTCATACTGTTTAAAGATTATTGCCTCCCCCGCAAAGTGTCAACATTTTCAAAATTTGTAAATCCAATCCAATGGGCATATAACGTGTCCACTTCAATCTAAAATAATATTTTTTATTGTAATTTATCATTCCGGCTTCTTAGTGGGTGATTGGAGAATATTGTCAATGTACGTCCGTTAGTAGCTTAGCCGCCATATGATGGTAAATTTTCGGTATTTTGAAGGTTTTATCCGAATTGACTGAAACTTGACATAAAAAGTTCTTGAAGGACATCGGTATAAATCTTACAATGAAAATTCCTTTGCGATTATGAAAGTTCAGTTCGTCATGTTTTACTCAATTTACCTTTAGCCTTTGCTTAGTGATTTTATTTGTTTGTTTTATAATTTCGTTTCAGCCTGGTGGCGTTTCATCCGTTGAGGACTTGAGTAAGGCCGAAGAGGAACTAAAATCATCTCTTAAGAAATTAGCTGCCGGCGATGGTCCCCATTACAAGTAAGTGTTCATATATATTTTTAAATTTTCTTTTGTAAATCGTTATTTCTTTTTTACCATAGATTGGCTAAAGTATATTCCGCATCAAAACAAGTAGTTGAGGGTATCTTAACGGAAATAGTTGCTGATCTCATCGACGAGGAAGAGAATACGAAAAACTGTAATGTTAGCATTTGGTCTCGTCCATGGTTGGAAAATGGTATTGAAGTTAGTTTTAAATGCGGCACAGAGCCAAAAGTGACCAAGAAACACAGTGCCTAAGAATGTGGCAATGTGTCAAATTTGTTGTAATTAATTTAATTATATTTAAATAAATAAAATAAAAATAAAAAATTATTTCAGGAATAAAACATTGCAATGGAATTTGTAGTGGTTTTATTTGAACTTTTTATATTTTTGTTTATAAATCATTCATAGAGTTTTAATTTCCGGTGTGACCTGTAAAAACAAAACCAACCGTTTCCACCAAGTTTTATCCACGTCCATAGGTATAACTATTACTAAAATCAAAAATTTTCATATATTTTCATAACTATTCAATAAGGTACATTTTTTTTATTTACAAATATTTTATAAATTATTTTATTTGTATACAAAATATATTGATTTTTATTCTGTTTATTCTATCGTGCCCCTGTTATCTCTTAGCATACTAATTATAATTGATATTTGTAGCTCGATTTCTTGAACTTAAGTACATGTGTTTCTAATTAGTAGTCAAAATATGTATTTCTATAATAAACGCGATATCAGTTGCAGGTCAATCCGGAGCCAACCAAAAATTATGTTTATATGCCCATATTAAGAAAATACCATAATAATCTATAAATAATTGTATAATATTTTAGATTCATGAATTTTTTATTTATTCATCCATTGCTTAATAATAAAAATATTGAAACATGCCCGACTTGTATTTGAAACAGATTCTGTTGCGATGCATATATTAGTAAAAAAGGAAAATTTGTAATAAATGTAAGACGGATTTATACCCAACACCTCAATGTGGTACAGGGTATGCTTCTATTGGCGAAAATGTGTTGGAAACAGGGTGCGGAGAATGATTAAAATACGCTCTTTCTCACGAATGCTCACGGCGAGAATTCGAATGTTTTCAATTTATCGCGAATGATAAAGTTACAATGAATGAACAAGCATTTGCAATCTCTCGCGAATGTTCGTATTGTACGAACAATTCACGAATGATAAAATTTTGAAAAACTCAAAAAACAAATGTTCACGAATGCTCTGGAGCGCTGTTAAAAACAACAACAAACAAAAGCAGTAAGGAAAGTAGTAAAGTCGGACGGGGCCGACTATATGATACCCTTCACCACTATGGGTATATTAAACAGGACTATTAACATGAAATTGGATGAAATAAAATATGTGATTTTATCTAAATGTGATCTATCCATAAATTATGTAAATCGACTTCAAACAAATATAAATAGGTCATACGTTGGGCTATGTCTGTAATTCTAGAAAACGCAACTTTGTTATTCCATGCTCAATTTTGTATGTTGTGCAAAATTGTTGTCAATCTGACTAACGTGAGGTGTTTGATGCCCAATTTACTTGAAATCGGGCGAAAATATATATGGAAGATCTATCCAAATATTAAGCGATTTCAAACAAACTTGTCACAGGTTAAGTTATACTAATTTCAGAACGTTTTGTTCCTATTGGTCAATTACTTAAAATCAATTTATAATAAAAGGGAGCTATATCTAAATCTGGACCGATTTTTACGAAACAAGACAGACATAACTCTAGGCTCAATTCAGTTCGTTATGCCAAATTTCGTGCAAACCGAAAGATATATAGCGACTTTGGTGCACCATTTACATGAAATCGGATGAAACTATATGTGGGAGCTATATAGAAATCTGGACCGATTTTCACGAAGCTTGGCAGACATCATTCCAGGCTCAATTCAGTACGTTATGCCAAATATCGTGCAAATCGAAAGATAAATTGGGACTTTGGGGCACCATTTACATGAAATCGGACGAAGCTATATATGGGAGCTATATCTAAATCTTTACCGATTTTCTCGAAACTTGGCAGACATCACTCTAGGCTTAATTCAATACGTTGTGCCAAATTTCGTGCAAATCCAAAGATATATAAAGACTTTGGGGCTCCATTTACATGAAATCGGACGAAACTATATATGGGATCTATATCTAAATCTGGACCGATTTTCACGAAACTTGGCAGACATCATTCCAGGCTCAATTCAGTACGTTATGCCAAATATCGTGCAAATCGAAAGATATATAGGGACTTTGGGGCACCATTTACATGAAATCGGACGAAACTATATATGGGAGCTATATCTAAATCTGGACCGATTTTGTCGAAACTTGGCAGACATCACTCTAGGCTTAATTCAATACGTTATGCCAAATTTCGTGCAAATCGAAAGATATATAAAGACTTTGGGGAACCATTTACATGAAATCGAACGAAACTATATATGGGAGCTATATCTAAATCTGGACCGATTTTGTCGAAACTTGGCAGACATCATTCTAGACCTAAATGATTAGGCTGTACCAAATTTCATGCAAATCGAAAGATATATAGGGACCGTTTACATAAAATCGGTTAAATATATATATGGGAGCTATATTTAAATCTGAACCGATTTTTCTCAATTTCAATAGGGTTCGTCCTTGGGCCAAATAAGTTACCTACGCCAAATTTCATCCAATTCGGATCATAAATGCGACCTGTACTTTGTTTACAATTTAACATGGACAGACGGACGGGCGGACATGCATAAATCGACTTAGAAAGTGATTCTATGCATATTCTCAAAAGGAACCATCTGTCTATCTCGTTTCCTTTTGCCTGTTACAAACATATACACAAAGACATAATACCCTGTACCACAGTGTGGTGCAGGGTATAAAAAGAGTGACATCCAATTCCTAAAATTTCAAAATTTGGTGTTACGGTTTTTGATAGGAAGATTGCTATCTAAAGGCTTGTTGAGAAACGTGCAAAAAACGGGGTACCGTTATATGGGGACTTCACCTAAACCTGTACCAATATAACCCATTCACAATGCCAAGTATCCTAGAAGTACTAGCAATATCTGTGAAAAATTAAGAATCAATAAATAAGTTCCTAAAACTTAAACAAAAAGGTTAAAAACGTATGTAAGTAAACCCTCCGTGAACCCGGAATACCAAATTCAATCATTTGAAAATATTCTGAAGATATGTTTATTACTATACACGAATAAAGTTAAATCTTTTAAAATACTGAATGCAGTTAAAAACGAAAATAAGTCAAATCTCTGATATGGGGTCTATGTGAACCATGAACTTATATCGAAAATATTCTGTAAACATGTTGTACAAGTGTTTAAAATGCGAATTTGTAGCCTTTTGGTAAAAAAACTATGAATATCTTCAATGTAGGACGGATTTATACCCTACACGTCAATGTGGTACAGGGTATGCTTCTATTGACGAAAATGTGTTGGAAACAGGGTGCGGAGAATGATTAAAATATGCTCTTTCTCATGAATGCTCACGGCGAGAATTCGAATGTTTTCAATTTATCGCGAATTATAAAGTTGCAATGAATGAACAATCATTTGCAATCTCTCGCGAATGTTCGCATTGTACGAACAATTCACGAATGATAAAATTTTCGTTCTTTCGCGAGCATTTGTGGCTGAAGAACATTCTTTTGAAAAACTCAAAAAAAAAAAATGGTCAGGAATGCTCGGGAGCGCTGTTGAAAACAACAACAAATAAAAATGTAAACACACAGCGAATTAATGTGTGTGTAGCATGTGTGGAATAACCAAACACATGTCCAAGAACTATTGAGTCCACGAACGTTTGTTGTTATTCTTGCTGCTGTTTTGAGCGTTCGCGAATGTTTGTTTTTCATTCGTGATCAAATGTCAGAAATAATTTCAACCACCACACGAAACGAACGTTCGTCGTGAGCGAACATCCATTTGGTAAAGAATCTATAGCCCAAAACGAAATGAACGTATTTTGAATCATTCGCGAGCGAATTTTTGCGCACCCTTGTTGGAAATAAACTATTTCTGATGGTGTGTGGCTTTGAGATGGAAACGTCCGCCGCTAGAAAATATAGCCTTAAACGTCTAACATTGAGTCGCATATAAATGTGTCCCATCAAATGCCTTTGGGCGAATTTGACTTTTATGACAAAACTGTAAAAATATTTACTTAATACTAATTTATCATACGCTTTTGGTACTAGTTTTTATAATTAAGTATCGAAGTATTATAACCAGCCATAAAGTTTTTATATCTGTTAAATAAGTACTGAGATATAGAGCTCTAAACAAAAAGTGCCGAAGCTACCACAGTCTCCTCTACTGATTTTGATATAGCTCCCATAAATATGTCTATCCGATACCATAATGACACCAATAATCCTCAGTTTGTACGATTGACAAGAAATAGTACACAACGTATCGAATTGAGTATGGAATGATGCAAGGTTTTGTTGAAATCGGTTCATATATAATACAGTTGCTATATCAAAGGTTTGTCCGATTGAGACATAGTACATATATAATTGTCTGTGTTAGGTTTCTTTGAAATCGTTCCACATTCCATTCATAGTCGCAATATTCTACAAAAATGTTGCTATAAGATTTTATATAGAGTTATCAAGACGAGTCATCGGAGGAAAAAGAACCGTTTTCTTTAATTTTTAGCCGGGCATTCAGATAATACAACCGATATTAGTCCGGTTCAATAAATTTAGGACATTTTGATTACTTGCTTTCTTTGGGATCTCTTGTTTTTTATTCTTTTTTTGTGTTGTGTAAAAAATGCTACTCGACAATTTAATATGTTTATTTTATATGACTGGCTGGCTCTTTTCATTTCGAACCTTCTTTTTTTATTCGCGTTACTATTCCATTAAAAAACATATTTTATTATTTTTTTATTATTCAAAGGACATTATTTGAATACGATGATCAACATCGGATTTATCATCTCTTTCTTCATCTGTTTGATGGGTCAATGTTTTGCAAACAAAGGCGGTTGCTATCTGTGAGGTAAGCGGTGTTTTTTGCGGTGCCATGGAATCTGTATGTGTCTATACGTGTAATTATTATTGATATTTTTAGGCATGGGCGAATATTAGACTAAAACGTTAAACATGCTGTGTCTGAAGAGAATTTAAATCTAAATTTCTTGGAAAGTTTTAAAATACCTAGAAATATCTTTTTCAAATAAAATAGCTAAACAGACAAATATACAAATCATTTTTAAAGTTTTACATGTAATAATTAAACTGTAATTATTTGAAATATATTCATATATTCTGTGGCCATTCGAATATTACGATAAGTACGATGTAGAAATATAAATGTATGAAAATGTTTACTTTGACGGGAATGTTTTTTTTTTGTATTTTTTTCTACTTGGTTTCTCACAAGCCGCAAAAGATCTCTTGTTGCAATATTGAAATGTATAAATACATTTAGCATATTGAATTCAGTGATTATTTGCTTTTCAAGCGACAGCCTAAACGAGTGGTCGATAAATTGTGAATTATATACGGAGATTTTATATATTTTTGAAAAAATGTTTCCAACAAAGTGCCTATTGTTTTTGGTATTAGTGCTGGTGGTGACCATGTGTGTGGAATCGCAAATGGTAATAGTTGAAACTAAATTTAATAAAGAATTAAGTAAATTAAATAATCATTTAATTAATTACAGATGACAGGTGGTATACAACCTGTTAAGGATCTAAGTGAAGTTGAGAGGCAATTATCGACATCATTGTCGAGACTGGAGAATGGTGATGGTCCGCATTATAAGTGAGTGCAATTTTTATTTATTAGTGAATAAGTTGCAAAATTGGGGAACATTCAATTGAATGTGCAACAAAAATACAAGTTTACCGTGAAGTAAAATTTTAATGATTACAACATGTTCACAATATAAACAATCCGATGGAGGTTAATTTGGTGGACATATAAAACATTAATATTGCATTCCAGGGAAAGTCAAGAGATATATTATATATGTTTGTCCCACTCAAACATATACCAAAGCTGACTTCAAATGCGATCAACATATTTTTGGCTAGAGTCCGATCTCGATTATAACCCAATTTTGCAAGCAGTACATTTCAAAAATAACTTTTTATATACCCAAAGTGAATGCTAGAGAACAGTATGAATTTTAAATCGGCCTATAAAGGATTCCTAAGCAGTGTATAATCTAAATTAATATAGTGATAGTTGCAAAATATTTTCTATATGTAACCACTATTTGACACAGATAAAAAATCGGTGTTTTATGGTGTCAGTGCTTCTGTTATACAAGGGATATGCAGCCAAATACCGGTTGAAAATGTGGATAGAAACAGGATCGAATATATTACATGTGAAAACATGCATTAGGGTGTGTATAACAGTCGGTGTTGCATACCGATATTTGTCCTCAGCATATGGTTTGCGGAGGCCTACGGAATTACTGTCTAGTGGATAAATTTGTAATTAGGGTGTGTATAAAAGTCGGTGTTGCCTACCGATATTTGTCCTCAGCATATGGTTTGCGGAGGCCTACAGAATTACTGTCTAGTGTATAAATTTATAATTTTTCAATATAGTGACAGTTTATGGGGGAGATACCAGAAATCACGGACCTAAATAATCGATAACTACTACAAATCTTTCATGTTTAGACCATACAGAAATTACTGTTCGATTTATATAATGAGATGACCATCTGTGGGGAGGTACCAGTATAAGTTATCCTATAGACCTCATCTTTGGATTTATTCTAGGTTTGCTAAAATATTAATATTAATTGCACAGCGGATCAAATCGGTTACTTCAAAAGCTTCGTATAAAATTTACAAGTTTTTAAAATTGTGATCCTTAGTTGGGGACCGATGGGCCCCATCTTCGGAATTGATCTAGACTTGGAAAAAGTATTACGTGAAAATTTGAAAGTGTCATCTTCAAACTTTGTACAGGTTCGATTAATATGTTGGTTTGGTTCATTTTGATCATTTGTGGGGGAGATACCAGAAAGAGGTGAAGCGAAATTTCCCCATCTTCTAATTTGATAGAAGATTGGAAAAAAATTTACGATGTGAAGAGTTTGGTTCAAATCGGTTACTCTCATCCAGTAACCAGACAGACCGACGGACTGGCTTTTGTATATCGACTCCAACTTGTCTGATATGGATTCGGTCCAATAAAACTTTAGGCACAAAAATGAGCCTCATCGAAGATATTTTTGTTATAGCAAAATGTATATGCCCCCATTAGCCAACATGGAATAACAATCGATTTTCGAAAACCCAGAAAGAGGGGTTATTTAAAATGTGTTATGCCCTCGCTTTTAACACTTTTAAACGAATTGACGTTGAAATCGTTATACAGGTTGCAATGTTTAAGTAGAGCTTTAAAATTTTTTCACTTAGGTTGGTTAAGGTTTTTGGTTTCAACCGAAGGTGCTGTAATTTGGCATTCTAGGTTTTTTGGACAGTGAATAACATCCAATATAATGCTCCGCCCTAATTTTTATACTTTTATGGAAATCCATACTCCAAATGAAGTGAGAGTTATATGAAAAAAATCTTTTTTTTAGAAATGTTTAAACTCATTTCCACTGTTCCCATATAAAGTCCCGCCCATTGAAGGCATTTTATGCGTTCTGGGTTCATTTCCCAATAAAAGTGACTTTATATTGGTTGTAATTCCGTATTTCGGGTTCTCATTTGGGTCCTTACCAAATATGTTCAATATGGCTATACTTTTTAGAATAGATCCAATATTTCGGTATTTTGGGTGTTTGGGCATGTTTTTAAACCAAATTGGCTTTAATTTAATATTTTAAATTGCTATTGAGTGTCAAATATTCTTACCAAAATTGTCATTATCGGTCTCGTTTTGGTATAGCCCCCAGGATTTCAAACATCGGTTTCCAACCATTACGCGTCATTTTGAATATGTTTAAGGCCCTAGACCAACCATAGTGTCTATTATGGTATTTAATTTTCTATTAGTAGATCCAATTTAGGTATTTTGAATATCCACCGCATGGTGGAGGGTATAAAAAGTTCAGCGGGCCGGATTGTAAAATATTGACCAATGGACATGACGCTTTTACTAGCTCTCGTTACATTTTCCATCCGAATATTTTGTAATTTCACATTCTGTTTTCTTAGTGAATAAACAACTTCTTCGTAGAAATGTGTCAATATAAGTCATTTTTATTACATATCCCCAATATTTCCATATGTTGAAGATTCTTTTCCGACTTAAGAAGACCCCCCCATTCTCGGGGTCAAAATTTGTGTTGGTATAATTCGAATCTACACTGATTAAAGAATGTCTCTACTAAATTTCAAGTGAAAATCTCAAGAACTCTTGAAGATATAGCCGATTTATTGTGTCAGCATCAAGTGACGGCTGAAGGGCTTCTCAAACTTTAAACGCGTTTTTCTCTAAACATTTTTTTTTGCGAATGGCGGGCACGATAACTCAAAAACTAAAAATCCAATCGGTTCCAAATTTTGCAACGTTTCTCTGGGAGTGTATAGCTCTCGTATGAACTAGGATAAAACCAATCGGTCAAGATCTTCCTTATTTTTTAACTTGGTTTTTGGTAAAAAATCGGCGATTTTCCAAAAAATATTTTTTCAAAGGTCCACCATTTTGTTAATTTTAGAGCGAAGTCAATAATCCTAGTTCATACGAGAGCCAGACATGTACTCTTTCTAACACCGTTGGAATTTTCGGATTCCGATGTTCCAGTGAGGAGTTATCATGCCCGCCATCAAAAATAAGGACTTTTCTTTAATTACAAAAAACAACAACAAAACAATAACAAAAATCTTTTGTAAATTATTTTTCTTCTCTTTTATATCTTCAATTATATATGTGCAAATTTACAAACCTTAACAAGCATTTGTATTCATTTGCCAGCCCATTGAAAATCTTGAAAAATTCCCTTAAGTGTCTATAATTTGGTTTTCGTTTTCTTAGAGGACAAACTATCTTCTGTCAGATAATTTTATTAGGTTTATGTTTCGAGTTTGCTACAATAATACGAGTTGCTACAATAATACAAGGGTCGTTGTTAGGTATTTTGAATCTGTTGTTCTTAAAAAGTTATTTTTACTAGTTTTGAATACTTTCCAATATACATCTATCTGGGATATGACGAAAATACAATATATTCTAACATTTCCAGGTTTAATATTAAATTCAAAAAAATCAGTTTAAAACATCTTCACGTACGAATCAAATCTATGTTCTAAATAATATAATTACGTTTTGCTTTTTAATATATCAAATATAGAATTTTCCAACGTATCTGATTCTAATTACTTTGTATTTCATATAAATTATTTCATTTTATTTTATTTATAGATTACGTAAAGTTCACAAAGCCACTAGACAAGTTGTGGCTGGATCATTGACTAGAATCGATGCCGATTTGGAGGATTCGAATGGTAAAGTTAAACCATGTAAGGTTTCGATATGGTCCCGCCCATGGTTGCCTAATGGAATTGAAGTCACTTTTGAATGTGACGGCGAACCCAAAGTGGTTAGAAAACATAATGCCTAAGACGTAAGAATGGAATGCAAATTTTGAAGTGGATAACTTTAAGTTCCTTCTTATAAGTAAAAAAAACTAGAACAGTATATGCATTACATAAAATTAATATAATAAACAATTAAAGTATAATAAAATATAATAATAAATAAATTTATATTGGACTTATTACTTATATATAACGTTATATTTTTGATGGTGTCATAATATGTTGTGTCCCAAGAATGTGTAAAACCATGATTTATTTTTTCTGAAATCGATAGATTTAAGACAATAACAAAATTACACCTTTCCGTGACAGTACCAACATATTATACGGATCTAATAAGCAAATTGTGCTTTAATGTAAAATTGTTATTATGCTAAACTACTTTCGGCTGCTTTGAATATTACTTCTTTAAAAAATATATTTTTATAAAGACAAGTAGTTTAATTAAGAACAGTCATAACAACGAAGTTGATTGAAATAAATTCAATTTGCCCCATCAATTATACTATTTTCAAAATGACAAAGTCTGTGACATCATAATATATGTATGTTTATTTTATTGTATGCTATGACAAATCAAGCAAATAAAATTTACATATTCTTTAAGATATCGAAAAGAATTCTCCTACAAAGAGATTTGTTTTATAGTTTTGAATTTTAGCGATGACCACAGAGATGATGGAAGTAGGTATTTTCTATTCATTTAAAAATTTTAACATTTATTTTTTATTATAAATTTGATTGTTTTAACGGAAATACAATCAATACAATAATAATGAAATAGTAATAAATAATTTGTTTTTAATGGTTCTATAATTTAGTACAAACACAAATAAGAATCTGACACATATTACGTTATATATTCTATCATGTGTAAGGGCAAAAAGTCACAAACGAATTAATACCCCTTAACAATATTTTTGCAACTAATCAAACACAAACCTTTAAATATCTCAACATAAGAGCAAATTGACTTAAACATATTTCAAAATAAACGTTTCAATAATAAAATAGGGTTTCACCTGTACCGCTTCTTTGAAAGTTTACGTCGAAATATAATATTAGTATCACCCCTTTTGGAACATGTTTGTAAATAGTCTTCAGTATTGATAAAACCCAGTTGAAACGATATTGAAACAATTAAAAATATACGGTATTCGTCACCCAAAATATCACCTAAATTTTAAGTCCTAGATTCGATACGACATTGAATACGTTAGAAGATATGATATGTCGGTATGAATTATTATTACAAAATTATTTAAAATTAGGAACATTTTAAATTTATGATGTCAATGGTCATATTTAATAAGTCCAAATATAAGTTTGGTCCACGGTGTATTAAGAGATGTGGTCATTGTAATGACGTGGTTACAATTGATCATTTGGGGTGTTAGAAAATTAAAGATCTACTTACATATATTTGTCAATATACATCTCTGAATTGATAAATAAATTGATAAACATTTCCAACATAATGCCATGTACAGACGAGCGTTGTTCGCTCTCTCATTCGTTGTTCGATATTATATATCGATTTCCTATACAAGCTCAGGAATAGTTCAGACAAGGTTCTTAAGGGGGTTTATTTCCGTTTTTTCAATATTGATTAATCGTTAGGTATAGCCCCCACATTTTGGTATCTTGGGGAGTTGGGGCACATTTTTCAACAAAATTGGCTTAATTTTTATATTTCGGAGTTTCTGCGGAGTCGTAAACACCTGAGTTGCTGTCTTGTATATAATCCACGAACATTTTTTTGAGGATGTCTACGGAATTACTGTCTAGTGGAGCATTTTTTTATTAAATTTATAATATTTCAAAATTGTGACATTTTGTGGGGAGGTACCAGAGAAGATGAACCTGAATAAACGATAATTGCAATAAATCTGTCATTTTTAGATCATACAGGAATTACTTTTCGATTGACTTTATTATACATGGTAGAAAATAAATACTCCATTACATGAATTTAATTGAGGTCTGAAGATCTCTATTTTTATTTTTTCGCAAAAATGTACCATTCATTTTTTATTTGTTTTAAATCTTTGACTCTTGCGTGGAACTTCTTGTTGGTATGCAGTGATTGCACCTATCTTGCAAGCTTAATGAAGCGCATCGAATATGTTCATAATGCAATAAACGCTTTGTTTTGATTTTCAATTATCAGCATTCATTTAATTACAAAATTCGAATGACTCATATGTCATTCTCCTGGACTCTTTGTGAGATTAAAAATATTCCATAAGTTTTGAATAAAGTAAATAAACAGTAATATTATTACAATTTCATTGTTTACGATAAAATAAAATATTCAGATCAACTAGCAATGGTTGTCAAAGTCATATCCTTATCGTAAATGCAATTTATTGAGGAAATAGGGAATTATAGAAAGGAAAAAATATGAAGTTATTTTAAAGATGTTAATAACACAACTATTTGTGCTAATAACACTAAATTTATTTCAAACCGGTTCAGCAATCGAAATGGATTCCACATACACTGGTGGCCAAAACTAAAGCAACTGAAATTGCAAAGTGAATAAATGAAAAATATTCTATGGGGAACTAATTGACCCAATTTTTGCTTGGTCAAAACTAAACAACTTTTTGATTTTTTTTCTTACAAATAAGAAAATTTTGCTAGTAATCGACAACAGACATTGAATTAATAAAACGTTCAATTTGATCCTTAGATGTAATGTTCCTCGCATTCTGAACCTTTGGGAAGAGGTTATGTTTGTTTATGTATGCATTTTGATTTTGCCAGCTATCAGGCATGTCCAGAAATGAATTCCGCTCGGAAGTGAAATTAATTGCCTATTTAGCTTCTTCAGAAAACTGAAGGGAACCACTTTTGATTTTGAAAGTGGAATTGCATTTATTTGAGAACTTGTCACTTTTAAATACTCTGAAATTACTTTAAAATAATAAAAATATTGTTTTTAATAATAAATTCACATTTTTTGGGCTTTTTATTTCAAAATTTTTGTTATCAATAGTTATTTATCAATAAATGAAACCACTTTTTAACAAAGTGTTGCCACATGTTTTGTCTTTAAAACAACCACCCTTTTTCTTTAATAATTTGAAGGAATTTTACAATCTGGCACTACGAATGATATACTAAAGCAAAAATCGAAAAAAGAAAAACAAATTTTGTACAAAATGTAAATATTTTAAAATGTAAATTAACTATTTGGTCATTAAGGGGAAAACACAGAAGTTCGGCGCAAGAAAAATTTTTTTATAGATTTTATGGAAGCATCTTTTAAATTTCTAAGGCGTACTTTTGCAATACCCCGTTGATTAATTTGAGCCTCAATCACAGAAACAATAGAAACTCCCGGCATTTTTTTAAACAAATATTGTGTTTTCCACTGGGATTTCATGGTATAAGAATAGATGGTAACAGCAAGTGTTGCTGTACAACAAACGATACAACAACTACGTGGAAATTTGTTTTTGTAAGTAATACTAGTGTCAACGTCATTTGACTGAAAATTGTAAACAAACATACAAATTATCAAAAAAATGTATTTATTTGAAAAATGTAATATTTTCGAATTTTTCAAATAAAATTGAAAAACATGAATGAAAATCTATCAAATTTATATTTCTCTCGCTTCCACATCTTTCCTAATTGAGCCATTGCAACTTATATGAGTAACACATATGAAAATGCTGGGAATTGCGAGTTATTCCATGAAGAAAGATTTGCTTCCTCAAACTTTCCCAGCAGGCAGTTTGAGTAAATTGAATACCGGAGAGCATTAATAAAGAACAATTTCGAATTTTATGCTACCCAATTTTCCTGTTGGGTCATTTTTAAAAACATAATTTGTCAAATTCATATTGACACTAGTATAACGTTGGAATCAAATCAGCTGGGATTTGCTGTTACCTTTTATAATTGTACCATGCTGGGATTTAAAGAAATAAGATTACTTTAAAATGCAACATTTTTTCCCGATTCTCTTTTACGTTGTTTTTAATCATATGATTTTTTTTTTATTATAGCAATGTTGCCATATTTCAATTAAGCAAAGCGATTCGTTCAGTTTTCGGAATTCATAAAATCGATCGGAATCTAAAGAAGCTAAAAGTACATTTACATATACGATTTTAAATCGACTCGATTAACGAAATCCAGAAATACACCCTAATTGTTTACACATACCTTTAATCATGATCTAAATACGGATCAGCTGATGTATGTTAGTATACATACAAAATTATAAATTTGCTGCAAAAATATTTGTTTCCAATTTCAACATGAAACGAAGAATTACAACAATGGAAATGTTTTTGCAATGGTGCGATCGTTTCGAAATTAAAAAAGAAAACAAAGAAAGACACAAAAATTCTATAAATAATTGTTATTTAATTTTTGTATTTGGTAACCGTTAAATTTAAAAACAAACAACATGTGAAAACAGTTGCAAATTTTGGTACATTGTTAGAGAGTTGTATTTTTTCGCACAAAAACCGCGTTGCATCTCAGCAGTATCATGATTTCGATCATGATTTAAAATAAACCATGCCGCACGATGATTTAATTTTGTATGGTAAATCATGGTAAATTTAGCCTGATTAAGGAAATAAACCCTGATTCAGCCTTTAATCATGATTAGATGTCATATGTAAATCCGCTTTAAAACAAAAACGATCGAAATGCAATTACGGAATTGAAACCATTCCAATCGGAATCTGTGACATGCCTGTATAATGTTTCAAAAGGGTGAAATTCTGATGATTGTACTGGCCTTTATAAATCCCTGAATCCAGTAACCAATCTTTGACATGTTTCGGTGTATGTTTGAGGTTAGCGTCCAGTTGAAACACCCAGCGAAGGGAACTATACCATTCTCAACACATTTGTATGGACAATCCGATCCATTACTTCATAAATCTCGTAGATTGTTCGATCTCCATTAAAAGAAGAACATCCCAATACCATTATTGATCCAAATTAATTTCATTAATACAAATACGATATTTCTGGGATTATTTGCATTTGTTAAATATAAAAAT